ACAACATTGGCAAAATGTTGGTCAGTACAGCAGTAAGGTGTTTCTTGTAGCTGGTCATCAGGTTTGGGCACGTCTCAGACTTTGACCCGCTCCTTTTGATAGAAACTCTCTAAATCCTTTACGTTTCTTGGCTGTCACTTAAAAAACTTGAAGCTTCAGCTCCCACCACAGTTTTGCTGTTGGACTGAGTTCTGGAGACTGAATATACCAGTCTATGATGTCATGTAGTCACTTGTCTGTAAATGTACTCTGTAGGACAAAATCAATCATTAAACATGAAAAAAGCTTGTCTTAATGCATCATTCCATTAAACAAAACAAAATCATTTATGTGAAATCCAATAATTGATTTTTATTTTTAGACAAAATATTTCTTTCTAGTTTCTCGTGTTTTCTGCTTTTCCTAGTTTCAGATTTGTGGACGAGCGTTGAGTCCACTTTTAGAAATAATATAACCTAAAGTTTTAAAAATCAGCTCATAACATAGAACTCATTACCTAACTTTGTCACCCTCAGTGTACTTTGGTGAGCAGCTTCTTTATCCCAGAATTCCTGTGAAAATGTTGGAGAAATTAACATATCATTCTTTTTTATGTTGATTCATGTTTACAGCTCTGTTTAAAACTGTGATGTCGTCCACGAGTCATGTTGAGATCACAGCAGTAAGTTTGACAGCTTACCTGCAGGTCTGGACTGTTCCTCAGCCTATAAGCATGTTTCATAAGCCTGTTTCAAGCTGACCCGCTCGCAGTCAGGCAATCTAAATCCAGGTCTTTTTCCCTGCCCTGACCCCTGTTATTCTGGTTATGGCATCACAGACACAGAGACAGCCAACAACTGCTTAAATGTTATTATTGTAACCTTCAGATTAGGTCATATATGATTTGTTCCAACTATAGAAACAAGCAAACAAATACACAACAATAAATAAATAAATAAATAATAACCCAAACATATAGTTAAAATTGTCATTGTTATAAAACATTAAACAATTTTGCTCTAATAACGAATGACACTGACTTGAATCAGTCAAGTTCTAGGCTTTTCATGAAGATGGATACTTAAATATATTATATATAAGTATCTGTTAAATGTGATTTATTTATTTGTTTTCTTTATTTGTGTAAGTTGATATATTTTTCAGATGCAACATAATAATCACAACAATGACAAAAACAGAAACAAACCTGTTAAAAGATGCCTAAACATGTCATGTTTGAAAGTGTAAGTAATCGTCTAAGTTTATAATACCCAAATGTTATTAACTTCAACCACAACAAACTGACTCTTAATTACCATCTTAACAGGCTTTAAATGGTGCAAATCTTTTAAGTCAGGGTCTAGAAAGCCTCTTTCAATGCAAAACTGCACCTTGGCTCATTTCCTCACCGCTGCAGGTTTAAATCCTGTGATTCAACCTAAAGATTTTCAATTACATTTCAATTTTTAATCTTAATGGTTCCATCTTTTACCATTTTTCAGTAAATTGCAATATTGTAGAATCACTTGTTTTTATCTCCATATCTGACATCAAGTCTAAATCATCCCCAACTTCTGCTTTTTTTTCTTTTTTCTTGTTCTGAGGTAAAAGAAGAGATCCCAGTGACAGAAACTG